ACAGTATTAGTACACCTCTTTCTTCTCATTGAATTAAGCAAAAGTAGCTGTATATCTATCCTATTTTGTATGTATAAATACCACATGATCTTTCCTTTATATCCCCACTTTTTTTTGTTAGTCCGGTCAGAGGTGAATATTCTACTGGCATCTAAATACTATAGGTTTTGAATTCAGCTAAACAATCCAACTCTGTCTAGCAATCTATCATATTAGTGGGTTATCCTCAGAATTTATTGACTTGAACCTATTACAGCTCATCATATTAATATGGCTTTGCTTTATATACCTCGTTTTTATACTTTTCTGATGGATGGTTAAGACCAAGATAAAGCAATACCTATATAGCAATAAATGTAACTTTTGTATCTGATAAGGTCAGTCAAGTACCCTCAGGATTTATCCTATAGCCCTGTACCGCACTTTGTAGATCCTTTGTCAGTGTCAGCCATGAGGATGAGTCATCGCCATTGCTTGACCAATTTGCTCTCTGTGAAAGCCTGAGAGAATGTTTTTTTTCTCACCATGTGACTCTCCCTAGGCACATTATACATCATCAATCACATTCCTCTGTGGCTCCATAATCTTCTTATCAGAAAATTTGAAACACAACTGAGTTACATGTTATTACATTACAGGTTCTCCTGTGTCCTGAGTCTTCACTGACCTTGAAAGGCTAGGGCCAAAATATTGGCTGACCTTGCAGCCCTTCCTTTTCTCCAATTTCGAACTGCTAATGTAGGTTATTAACCCTCCAGAAAAGAAGTTTATTGTTAACCTGGGATATATGCAGTTCAGTTTACCCTATCTGTCTAAATATCAAACATCATTGGCATATCATGGAATAGGTATTTTTCATCAAATGTTGGTATGTTGAAATTTAAGTCCTTATAGAATATGAAGGAAAATAATTTTATAAAAGTAGAAATGAGCATTTACATATTTTTATGAAGAAATTTAGAAATCTAACAATACACAGAATTGTAACAGGACAGACCTCTGATATTTTTTTTCTTATTCTTGTGTCTTTTTTTCCACTTCTTTCTTTTAAAAAACCTTTATTTAAGAGACATAATGGTAATGGAATGTTATGATAAGAAGTACATATTTAGAAGGCCAGGATGGCAGGCACTCCAAGTGTGACCCCTCTATTACACATCGTCAGCCTCATTGTAGCCGCCTGACTCACAGGCACAAAAATATAGAGTTATTCAATGTGAAAATCTCACCAGCCAAACACTAGTCTCAGAAACCTTCTGTTGTACCTCAGGATCACTTCCATGCCCATCTTGTGCATTCCAATGCATTGCTTTGCCCCTGTCATGATTCTCAGCTATTCTCTTTCCCCACTCATCATTGTCCAATCCTCAAGTTCTCACTTTCCTTTATTTGTGTTGCAACTTTCTATATGTAATTCCTCTTTTAAATTCTTATACTAGGGAGACAATATGATATTTACAGATGTGGGTCTGGTTTATTGCACTTATAAGTATATCTTCAAGTGGCATCCACTTAAATATGAAGGCTTTGAGTTTATCATTCTTTATAGCTGAGTAATACTCGATTATATAAAAGTATCACATCTTTTTCAACCATTCAACACGTGACAGGAATCTTGCTTGTTTCCAAGATCTGGCTATCACAAATTGTGCTGCTATAAACATAAGTATGCATATATCACTATGATATGATGCTTTCAGTTCCTCCGAGGAAAATTCTGAGTAGGGGGATAGCAGGTCTGAATGGGATTTCCAGTCCTAGTATTTTAAGGAGTCACCACACTGATTTCCATAATGGTGCACCAGTCTAAACTTCCACCAACAGTGGAGAAGGGTTCGCTTTTCCCCCACAGCCTCTCCAACATTTGTTGTTCATTGATTTCTTTATGACAGCCATTCTTTCTGGGGTGAGATGGTATCTCAGTGTTGTTTTAATTTGCATTTCATGGATGGCTAGTGATGAGGAGATTTTTTTCTTATATTTATTCACTTCTTTAATTTTATCCTCTGAGAAGTGTGGGATTATCTCGGATGAATATTTCTGGATTGGGTGTTTAAGTTTAGGTGCCCTAATGTTCTTTATAAATTCTAGAGAGCAGACCTTTGTCCAAGTACTTCCTATTTAAGATGTTTTTGATGTTTGTTGGTTGTCTTTTCACTTTGTTGGTAATTCCTTTTGATATGCAAAAACTTCTCAGTAAGAGGAGGTCTTAGTTGTTAATTCTTTCAAGTGTTTCCCATGAGATTTGATTTCTGTTCATGAAATCTTGTCCTATCCCTATGTCTTCAAGAGATCCTCCTACTTTCTCTTCTAGGAGATTTAGTGTTTCTGTTTTAATGTTCAGTTCTTTAATCCATCTTGATTTTAGTTTAGTGAATGGTGATAGATCTGGGTCAACTTTTAGTTTTCAGGATGTAGAGAGCCAAATTTTCTAGCACCATTTTTTAAAGAGACTATCTTTCTTCCAGTAAGCATGCTTGGCCCTTTGTTGAAGATCAGGTGGCTGACTGTGTTCTTAGAGGCCTCTGCATCTGCTAATCTATTCCATTGATCCTCAGGTCTATTTTGTTGACAACACCATGCTGATTTTTATTACAGTAGCTTTGTAGTATAATTTAAAGTCAGGAATTGTAATGCCTCCTGCTTTGTCTTTTTTGACCAGGATTGCTTTTGTTATTCTAGGTCTTTTTTGGTTCCAAATAAATTTTAGGGACAATTTATCTAGGTCTGGGATGTATGTTGGTGGTAGTCTGATGAGGATTGCATTAAATCTATACAACAATTTGGGAGTATGGCCATCTTCACGATGTTGGTTCTTCTTATCCAGAAGCAGGGAATATCTATCCATTTTGTGAAATTCACTACAGTCTCTTTGTCTAAAGTACTGTAATTTGCTGTGAAAAGATGTTTGAATTCTTTAGTTAGATGAATTCCAATATATTTCATTTTTCATTGGGCTATTATAAAAGATACTGTTTCTCTAACTTCCCTCTCACTGTGTTTTTTATGTGTTTAGAGAAATGCTACTGACTTTGGGTATTGACTTTGTATCCTGCTGTGCTACTGAATTTATCTATCAATTCTAATTGCTTCTTGGTGGAGTTTTTTGGGTCTTCCAAGTAAAGTATCATGTCATCTGCACATAATTATATTTTCACTTCTTCTTTACCCATTCTTATTCCTTTTACTTCTCTGTCCTGTCTAATGGCTCCAGCTAATGATTCCAGAACTATACTGAATAGGAGGTGTGAGTGAGGACATCCTTGTCTTTTTCCTGATTTGAGAGTAAAAGATTTCAGTCTTTCCCCATTGAGAATTATATTTGCCATTGGGTTGTCATAGATGGGTTTATCAGATTGAAGTAGAGGCCTTCTATTCCAATTTTTGTAGGACTTTGAACATGAATGAGTTTTGGACTTTGTCAAAAGTCTTTTCTGCATCAATGGAGATGATCATGTGGTTTTTAGTTTTTGCTCTATAGATATATTATATTACATTTATAGATTTTTGAATATTGAATCATCCTTGAATCCCTGGAATGAATCTTACATGGGCATGGTGTATGATCTTCTTGAT